GATGTGAGAGGAGGGCGGGCGCGTGAGCGTGCGGAGGGCGCGAGGTGGCGGGGCGAGCAGCCTGCCCTGCTGTGGGGAGGCTGCTGGGTGTGAAAGGCAAGGCCTTCAGGTGAGGCCTGGCCTCTGCAGAAGTCCGGTTTTCAGGCAGGCCCTGTAAGCAGTGGACTTCAACTTGCGTGCTTTTGGGGACTTCTGAAAACTTCCAGGTGTGAATCTGGACCCCTGCTTAGGCAACCGAAGCTGTATGGTAATAGGCTTTTTGTTACTACCCAAGTTCATTTTATCTGGCTCATTTAAAGGAAGCCCTTACAAACTCTTGTCGAAGAGGTAACAGTGGTGTGCGGGCAAAACGAATGGTGTCATTGAAGGAAAGCAAGCCCCTTAGTCTAGCTCAGAGACTAGAGGAAGCGGAACATAAAAATCTAATGTGTTACCTTTGTCAGACAGATCTTAGATCATTACTTTAGAAATTTATTCTTTTTTTAAATAGTAGACTTCTGGCAGGCAAATTGTTGTAAAACTACTTGTATGTGTTCCTGATAAATGTACTTCATAATCAGAATTCAGAGCAGTGAAATTTTACTCTTTCCTTCAATATGTATTTGTATAATCCCTAACTGTGTGTAGGAACAAGACATGGCACTAGTTATATATCTTGACTGGGGACCCCAACACACTTGCTGAGCATTTTCAAATAATGATATTATTTGTTACTAGTATCCACTTCAAGCTTGCTGATTGTTTGATATTCTGTTAAAGAGTTTATCCAAAAGAACTTTTGCCAAAAGGGCTCTTTATAGTTTGCTTTTCGGATATGATTCATGAAACAAATTGGATTGCCATTCACAAAAAGGTCAATTCGGAAGACTAGATGAAAGTCTTTAGAGGAGAGCTGTATATGAGGAATGATTGACCTCTTAGGAAAACCCATTTCTGTAGCTTGCTGATCCAGATCTTTTTCATGGTTTAAGGCTGTGATATTTTGGAAGCTGCAGTCAGGAAATTGTGTGGCTTACCCTGTGTACTCAAACTCTTGCAAACTCTTTGTTTGTAGCGTATGATAAACCTCGCAGAGTTGACCCCTTACATCCTGTGTTCCATCTGCAAAGGTTACTTTATTGATGCTACAACTATTACAGAATGTCTGCACACCTGTAAGTATCAGTATTGTCATTCTAAGAGCTTATCTGCAAATTCAGACAAAAATTAGCTGTTGAGATGTTCTGGCTTCACAAAGTAATTCTCTGTTTGACGTGAACGTGTGTTATGTTTATTCTGTTCCTTAAGGAAAATATGTCTGTGGATATTTTAAGCATCAGAAAATCATGAAATCAATCTATCATGAAGTCTGGTTAGTTTCCCAGATTAAGAGGGAAGATGATGTGGGGAAAGATAAAGCCCAATTAAAACAAAAATAGAATTACTGCATACTTTTTTTTTTAAAGTAGGCTCTTGGAATTTGAGTATATAACTGAGAAAAGTAAGTTGAGTGGCCCTGCTCATAACAGCCTAGAGAGTTTCCTAAACTGTTGCTGATATGAGCTTCTAAGTTCACAAAACTCAGTAAGCAGCTGCATGGAAATACCAGTTCAGCTACAGAAACTATTTATATGCAGCCCTGGAACAGTTAGTCTATAGCCTGATGAGTAGAAATAGATTGATAATAAAAAACTGATTTCAATGTTCTTGTCTTTTTATTTTTCCCCTCAATCCTTGTGTTGTGTTGTATTTGGTTTGCGTGGCAAGGTTTTGGCAGTGGGCTTTTTTTTTGGCTTCTGTGAGAAGCTGCCAGAAGCTTCCCTGATGTCCGATGGAGCCAATGCCAGCCGGCTGAGAGCGGACCTACTGCTGGCCAAGGCTGAGCCAATCAGTAATAGTGGTAGCACCTCTGGGACAATGTATTTAAGAAGGAAAGAAAAAACCCAAACCCTGCTGGGGAAGAATAGTGGAGAGAGAGAGGTGAGAGGATGTGAGAGAAAACGTCCCTCCAGACACCCAGGTCAGTGCAGCAGGAGGGAGGAGGTGCCCCAGACACTGGAGCAGAGATTCCCCTGCAGACCCTGGTGCAGCCCCTGGTGAGGCAGGCTGTCCCCTTGCAGCCCATGGAGGCCCACAGGGGAGCAAATCTCCCCCTGCAGCCCTGGGAGGACCCCATGCCAGACCAGGGAGGTACCCGAAGGAGGCTGTGACCCTGTGGGAAGCCCACACTGGAGCAGGCTCCTGGTAGGACCTGTGGTCCCGTGAAGAGAGGAGCCCAGGCTGGGGCAGGTTTGCTGTCAGGATTGGTGACCCCACAGGGGACCTACGCTGGAGCCGTCTGTTCCTGAGGGACTGCACCCCGTAGGAAAGAGGGACGCATGCTGGAGCAGTTCATGGGTGAAGGTCTCCATTTGGAGAAGTGCATGGAGGACTGTCTGCTGTGGGAGGGACCCCAAACTGGAACAGGGCAGAGTGTGAGGAGTCCTCCTCTGGGGAGGAAGGAGCGGCAGAGACAATGTGTGATGAGCTGACCCCAACCCCGGTTCCCTGTCCCCCTCTACCACCTGGGGAGGAGGTAGAGAATTCTGGAGTAACATTAAGCCTGGGAAGAAGGAGAGGGGGAAGGGGTTTTAAAATTCAGATTTTTTTTATCCTCCTCTGATTTGATTGGTAATAAATTAAACTAATTTCACCAAGTTGAGTCTGTTTTGTCCATGACGGTAACTGGCAAATGATCTCTCACTGTCCTTATCTCAACCCATGAGACTTTTGACATATTTTTCTCTCCCCTGTCCGGTTGAAGAGGGGAGTGATAGAGCGGCTTTGGTGAGCACCTGGCATCCAGCCAGGGTCAGCCCATCTCATGTGTTAACTGTTTTTCCATTGCTAGCAGAACTGTTTTCTCTCAAAGCTAATACAATCCTTTCTGTGAAGCTGACTCTCAGCCGCACCCATGTTCCCACCTGAATCCAAGAATCTCAACTTCTTAGCCCTTGTAGCTGCTAACACTACATAGAGAGAAATATCTTTTTTTTTTTCTCTTGCTCTTTTTTTTTTTGTTGTTGTTGTTTAAATGGGGCACTGCTTACTAGTTTGATCTATACCATGTAATACTCAGTGCAGTTTGTAATTTAGGAAAAAGCACAGCTGTTAGTAAGGACAGCATAATGTTGCAAGTGGAACTGTGGTGATTTCTTAGAAGTTTCCTGGTAAATGTTGTGGAAAAGTTTGTGTTCAGGCTGATAGGGAGCTGATTCAATAGTAAGTTATTTCTTCTAGGTATTGCCACTCTTTCGCTTTCCTTCCAAATTTTTACAGTACATGTAAAATACAACTGATACAATGGTAGGTGTTCAATGTTGTCATTGTGTTACCCAGAACAAGAGTAGAGCTAAAACAACAGAATACTGACTGCTGCAGAAAAAAGGGTTGCTGAAAAGCACCCTACAAGCTGTTTCAGTAGAAAAAACAAAGTAAGAAATGATAATTCTGTCATTTTAATTGTATTAGGATTATTCATAGGAATAATTCTAACTGAATATTCAAGAGTGTTGTATCCTGTACAGGCAGAGAGCTGCTGTTTACTTCAGTTTTAAAGTTCAAAGACTTGCTTCATTTTGTTTCTGACAAATTTTAGTTAACAAGTCAGGGTGTAATTGCTCCTCTTGCTTAAACAGATGATACTGTATAATGGACGTGTGACTTCTATGGGGTTTCTTTTCTTTACAGTTTGTAAAAGCTGCATAGTGAGACACTTCTACTATAGCAACAGATGTCCAAAATGCAATATCGTTGTACATCAAACACAGCCCCTTTATAATATCAGGTAATAAGTTCATGTCATTTTTATAGGTACAATGTTTTTTCAAGTTTTTGCTGCTTGCTTTTAAATGTTTTGTTTTACAGACTTGTAGTGCTTTTCTATTTCAAATGAAGGACTGGTTACAAGAAACGCATTGTGTTCTTTGTTTATGTAAGCTTCACCTCAGTAGCAAAGATAAAAATATTCAATTCCTTGTTTTATCCAATTTGTATCCCTTTCTAGGGTTTCTTACCCCCCACCCTGTGTGTTTTCATGCATTTGCTCAGTGTTACAGTGATACGAGTTCCTAGCTATTTGCTTTGATTTCCTTTTAGACAGAGCTCTGCTGGCATGATATACTTATTAAATCTGAAAACTGAGTTTTAGTTTCTTGAACTGTTCATGAATTCTTGAAGGGTGGTGCTTTTAACTTTACATGGCTGCTTCTGTTGGAGCTCTGCTATCAGGACACAAATTTAGGCAAGAGGGAGTTGCTGCTCTGTCACTCTTCTCTTTATGTACGTCATATTTCAATGGTGTATTTGGCATCGCTGTTACAATTTAATGAAAACCATTCTGTACTGCACCAAAGAAACGTTCTTTTTTTTTTTTTCTCTCTTTAATAGACTGGACCGGCAACTGCAAGACATAGTCTATAAATTAGTTGTCAATTTGGAGGAAAGTAAGTCCCTTTATTTTATTACCATCTAGAGATTGAAAAGACTGAACAGAAAACAGAGTAATTCAAAGCCCGGTTTCTGCTCTGGGCTCTTTAAAATAGTATTGTAACGTTTGGTTATAAATCTTAATGAATTAGATGTGCCAACTGGCATCTTTCTGGCTGCTAAGTGCTATTATGGATAGTGCTATGTACCCTGTCTCATGAAACACAGGTGTCGCTGTGTCCAGGTAAATATCCAGATAAAATTTCGTAGTCATGCCTCATATTTCTGTGTAAGCACAGAAAATATCATTCCATCTAATAAGTTCACTTGCCTCAGTTGAAAAAAAGTTGCTAAGACTGATTCTCTCAAATGCTTTTCTTTTTTCTTCACTGCCACATTTATTTTTCTGGCTTTAAGTGTGTTCACTGTCACATGTCATTCACCTTGAACTTGGGGAGCCGGTGAGTCTGCACAGTCCACCTGGGTGGACTGGGTGAAACATGTACATCTAGTGGATATATGTGGACTATAGATGGTATAAAAATAGTTATGACAGTCTATAGATGGTATAAAAATAGTCATGACAGCCAGAAAGATACTATTTTTTTCAGCTATTTCAGTATGGCTAATTTCTCTGATTTCTTCCTAGTTTTTACAAACAAACTCTTAGTCCAGGTATCTTAAGTGTCCCAGCCTCATATGGAATGCTAGTGATGGTGAAGATCTGTAGGAACTTGGAAAGTTTTTACTGTTCTAACCATTGCAAACTATATGGGTACTCTCAGCATCTGAAATAACATTCCAATCTGTTCTGTATTGTGGGTTTTTTTCAGGGGAGAAAAAACAAATGCATGACTTCTATAAAGAAAGAGGATTAGAAGTGCCCAAACCAGGTGAGCTGTAATCACTTTAGAGGATACTGTTAAGGAAATATTTACTATACCATTTATTCTTAAGGGCTTTCCTTGAAATATTAGCTCACAACTGAAGAAGATATGCAGTATTGGAAATATGTGATTCGTGGTTGTCTGATAACTATGTCTTGTCACAGTTCTCAAATTACAAAAACAGAAGATGGGTCTGGCAAGCACTTAAACCCAGATAATGGTTGGATATTTTTTAAACAGATTAGAAATAATATATGTGTTACAGAGAAGTAAAAGTAAGAACTTCAAAGTCTGTTGACAGATGAGGGATTATTCTAATTATTTTTTGTCTTACTATCAAATAAACGGCTCTTTGGAGAGGTGCCACGCTGAAAGCTAATAAAACACTGGTTCAGATACACAGCATGAAATGTATAAAGAGCTGATTTAGTCATTAAAAAAATAGGATACATTGCATGGGCTCTTTTTTCTTATGAGCTCATCTGTTTTGCTTGGCGCATGTTAGTGTCTTATGTTGCTGTTATTTCAAGTCGTGTTTGCATTTTGGCTATTTGAATATTTTAGCTGTCCCACAGCCAGTTCCAGTGAGCAGAGGAAGACCTCGAAAAGTTCTGGGCTCTGTGTTCCGGATCCCACCAGAACTTGACATCTCCATACTTCTGGAGTTCATTGGGTGAGTTGTGGGCAAATATGAGAGCAAGTGGCTGACGTGAGGGTGCTGCTTGTGTGTGTTGGACCATTACTGGCTCTTAGTTTTCATTGAATGTGCTTTTCCTCCATCTCAAATAGCAGTGGGGAGCTGGCTTTAACTTACAGGGCAATAACAGTGACAGCCAACGATGCATAGCTAGATGATGCAGATAATTAAGTGTATAAGGTGTCTTCCTGTGAAAACAGCTTCCTAAAAAGTGTAGTTTTAAAACTTACATGTGTTCATTTTATTTTTAACAAAGTAGTGTAGTCTCAGTAAACTGAGTTATCAAATACCAGTCTCTTATACTTCCTTAATCCCTGTAGGTGGCAGTACCATTAATGCTGACTATGCCAGGACTTGCTCATGTAACTCAGGGATGGCAGCTACAACCTGGGCAGTAAGAGTAGTGTTCCCCTAAATGTTATAGGTGGGGGTAGTAATGTGGTCTACTGTTAAGTTTGCCTGACTGTTTCCTGGACTTCAATGAATTATGCTGAAGCTTTTGTATCAGGAGTCATCTTTAGCCATGGATTGTGTAGGGGAAATCTAGCCCAAACGCTTGAGTTGTTTTCAGGAACACAAGAAGGAGAAATTGTATTGCTTTGGCCATATGCAGATTTGCTACTACTCTGCTAGCACCACACAGTGCAGAACCTCAGTTGTGGGGGGGAAGTGGCTTGACTTCTGTGGAACTCTTACCCTCTACCGAGAATATGCCTGCTTTTGGCCTGACGTCGTCTGAACAAAATGTTCAAAATAAGTGATCATAGCAAACTATTACACAAATGATGTGAAATCAAGCCCTGGGAAATTCTAGCAGCAAACCATACCATCTTGATTCAACCTCACTCTTTGTAGATATCATGTCCTAGGCTTTTTTTATGTTATGTTCAGTGTCTCCACTGTGTCTCACTTTATTCAGAGTACAGAACAGATTTCATCCACAGGTAAATTTTGGTCAGGTGTGTGGGTTTTTGTTTTGTTGTTTTTTATTTTTGTGTTGCTCATCACGTGGCTTCTTTATTTCTTTGGATGAGGAGTAGGACTGCAGGAAGAAAAGAGACGGTCTTAGAGCTAAACCTCTAGGGAACAATACCTGACTGTGCTATAGAATGGCCTTGTGAATCCCCATACCTGACTTAATTTCAGCGTTCAGTTTCTTTATGCCTGACTTGCAGAAGTGCTGAGTGCTCACAAGCACAGCTAAAAGCAGTGGGAGCCATGACTAAAACTGTGGTATCAAGTGTTTTGCAGACAAATCCAGTCCTGGGTGTCCCAAATTGGGCATTAGCTGTTCTTGGTTACCTTTTAGCACAGTCTGTCTCAGGTTACTCTTTTTAAACAAGGTAGTATACTGCCATTCTGCAGAGTAGGATGGTATGCAAATACATTCATGCATTGAAGAAATGAGACAGAGGGAATAAATGCTTGTGCGTTAAGAGCGGGTTTGTCATAAGTGAAGCCAAGAGCCATGTGTTGAATAGGAGAGGAAAGCAAAGCCATATACAGCTGTTCAGCCAGTGACCATTGTGTATTGTACACTCAAAACTTACTTTAAATTTTAAGTTTTTAATTGTACTTATAGAGGCTTTTTTCCCTTTAATGAATGTGGTATAAAACCTATGATGTAATTAGTACAGGGTCCCAGTGACCTGGTGCTCAGGCATGCTTTTTACCCCATTGGGTAAAACATGATTAAATTGGTAAGTACAGACATAAGGTAAAATTCTTTGACTAAAATCTCAGTAGAAAAGAGTAAATGTAATGCTATTTACCCTATGTTTATGTTGTGTTAGGAATATTAGGAAAATATGTGGTTATTTTATTGACTTGGCTGTGACTGTGTCTCACTAATTTAGCTTCTAGCTAGGAGTTTGAAGGATGCTCTTTCTGGGACCTGTGATGAGTACCGGCTGCTGCTGTGCTGGCCCAGCAGGTGGCAGAGGAGCATATGGAGAATGAAGGGGCATAGGAGCATGCTTTTATACCAACAGCACCGCAGCTTTCTCAGTGATAATTTCACTGTAAAATTACTTCAAAAACAGGAATTAGATTTTACGTCCTTTTTGGGTTGGAACACTTGGTGACACTATAGGAAAGCTTCCTTAAGATTGTCTTGACTGCAGGATGAGATGCAGTTTGTACTCACTGTAGTGAAAGTACTTTCGTTTAGATCTCCCCTGTGAAAGTCTCCGGGTTGCGAGTCCCACCCTGTGATGCTCAGCAGGTACACTTTTCTTTTTTCAGAGCAAGAGGAAGATGTCAGGCAACTTAGACCTCAAAACTAGTAAATGTGTATTTGCCTGTCTGTGAAACAAAATGACTTTTGAATCTGTGGTGGTGTACTTGTTTTTCTGGTAGTTTTATTGCAAGCTTCCATTCCCGTGTTGGCAGCAGGCAGGTGATACTGTGCAAATACCATCTATAAGGTGTGAAACTGTCCACTGTGGTTTTGTTACTTATATTGAGGGAAGCACAGAATGTTTCTAACAAAAAAAAGGTTGACGGCTTAACAGCATCTACTTTGCAATTTATTTTAATGGCTTTTTTTAACCTTTGATCTTCTTTTATACTTTATATGTTTAAGGGTTAAAGCGTTTTCCCCTTCAAAGGGCAAAATCAAAGAGCTTTTCCTGGGATGAGAGATTAAGAAAGCTCTTTGGATAAAGAAAACTTGGAGTAGATTGGACCAGCCACCAGAAATTGTTATTCTGAAAGTCTGTCTATACAGTGTCTTTAGAGAGTGTTATCTACTCTACTGTGGCTGTGGAACAGTATCAAAGAAAATGACAGCTGTGGTGGAAAAGCTTTTCTATGTTTGTTACTTAGTAACTTGAAACTTAATTTCAGTGGCAGAATTTGATGATAGTTTTACTTGACTCTGATAGCTGGTACATATTTAGAGGTGGAGATACTCAGTTACAGTGGCTTGAAGTGCCATGCTAATGTGTGGTCTGCACAAGCATTACAAATACCTTTGTTTGCTATATCAAATGGTCAGTAGAAATATAGTTGGTTTATAGTGATGTTTGATTTTTCTCTCCAGTGCAATGAAATAGTGCATTTTTTTTCCTTTCATATGTACATACTTGCTAATGCAATGCAAGAATAGTGAGATTTAATTGGGCTCAATTAATTGAGAAATACATTTCATTACAAGATGGAGGTACGGAGTATAGATGATCAGTAGTAGATCACATGCTTAGACTGTGCAAATCAATGAACCTCTGAAGCCAGCTGGGAATTTGGTCATTTGTCATCTTTGTATGTATTTCACCTTCCAGAGGAACACCTGCTGCTTCCCTGAGTTCCTAGATAGCATTCATCCTGTGATATAAATAGTCTGGAAGGCCCAGAAAGTCTCTTCAGTGGTGGGGCCTGTTCGGTCAGCAGCTTCTTAGGTACTGTCTGTTAAAGTTCCAAATATCAAGGATGGTGAAGTATAGATGTTTAAGCAGCATTAATATTCACTCCTGTGAAAATGAATGTTATGTTGCATTATGAAATGGCTTTAGGCTGTGTGTTGGGTTTTTTAAATTTCATTTTGACAAACCTTAAAGTCATAGCTGAAAAATGGAGTACCAAATAAAGAGTAGGAGAAAAAGATATATATAAATTCAGTCTAATGTTATTAAATGTATTGGAGTTTAATGAAAGGAATAGCCTGATTCAGACAATAAGCTTCATATGCCACACTACTAAATCAGTAAGTCACTGTTATAATAAAGAGCTTGAGGGTGTTAATAACTGTTAACCTTAGCAATATTGATTGTGTTTACTCTTCTCTTGTTTTTCAGAGCTAACGAAGGCACAGGGAATTTTAAGGTGCAGATGTGATTTGAATTTTTCTCTTACGATTTACTTCAGAAATACGTATAACCTGAATGTATTTAATGTAATTTGTTTTTCTTACACCAAGTACAGCCTGAACTTTCATCGGCATAGTAACACCAACCTTGCATTACAGAGTACTTTCAAACCTATTATTGTATAGCATCACAGAAAAGGAAAAGAATGCTTCTGAGGCTAAGTAATTAAAGTTTTGGTGGGAGAATGGGAATGATACTGATGAAATTGCACCTAGGTGATTCTAGCTTGTTATTCTTGTATCTCTCTCTAAAAGGTGCACTACTATGGCTTTTATTGGAGTCCTGAACAAAGGTGTAGATGTTGTCTAAAATACTTGTTTTTGTAGAAGATTCTCTAGTTGTAGTGGAAAGCTTGCATAGGTTATTCAGAGGAAGCTTAGCCAAAAGTATGAAACTAGTATAATAAATTGCTATGTGCTTAAACATATAACAAAAAAAAAAAACCCACAAATTGTCTAGATGGCACAATATACTTACTTAGCCAATAGAAAGCTTATTCTTCTCTCCATCCCTTCACTAGCAATGTTTGTTGTCTGAACGGTGGCTGTTCTGTTAAACAACAAGAAACAGCATTCCCAATCCTTGCTAAGGAATATGGCTTTTCTTCCAATACAGATCTTCCTACTGAACTGCTTCAGCACAAATTCCTAGAGGAAGTGTACATTGTTTGCTGCCTTCATGATTTCATATGCTGTAATTAGAGATGCTTAGAGTGTGTCATTCCACTATTGTGGCTAAACGTTTAGAAAACAAGACTCTATTCAAGGGCAAGAAGGAGATGTAATTTAAAATTCCTCAGTATATGTTGCATTTAATCTTTCATTGTATTGGAATTGTAGGATTGAAAAGATGGAATGGCACAGAACAATAGAATATGAGACACCAAACTGGTACAGTTAGCAGGAAAATTTTACTGTTGAATTTGTGAAAAAAGCTTGTTAGTAACTTAAATATTAATCGTCCTGATTGTACCATTTTACTAATTTCCTGAATGTTTTCAGCTGGGTTGATTTCTAATCCATGTATTTTCAGGCACAGACCTGAACTGATATTGCAGTTACTCATACTATTTTTAATAGTAATTACATTTGTTATAGCAGAGCTTAGGAGGCAATTTCAAACTTTCAAATACAGAAATAAGAATTTTCACAGAGTTTAGTAAAACAAAATTAATCTGTAGAAGGGGCAGTGTTCCTGAAAATGTCTGCAGTCAATTTTCTTCATCTGTTGCACCCCCATACCTACCCAGCATTTTTTTCTTCTTTTTACCCTTAAATTTCACACTACTTCTTTAATCTTCTTGCCCTTGTATCGCCTCCCATCCTTCCTGTCTCATATTTGCCCTTCATTCTGCTTTATTTTTTAATCCTGTTCATTTGGGGCCACACAAGAATGACTGTAGGGCAGTTCAACCACTTTATTAACTTACGTGTTGTAACACTAAAATTTGTGTCAGACACTTATTTCCTCTGAAACATGCCACTCCAATGCAAGTAGTTTTGCCTTTTAAAAAAGATACTTGGCTCGAACATCATTAAGGAGTGTTTGTGATTCAGAAAAGGCTTTTTTTTTTTTTTACTAGGTGGTTTGGGGGGGGGGGTGTTCTCCCTTTTAAGCCATAAATATCCCTGCTCACTTTAACTCTAGTGTTCTGAGGATGTTGAAGATGAAAGGCTGCCCACCATTACTCACAGTCAATAGTTCTGTGCTGCAAATAATCCTATTATCCATAGACTAAAGTGCCACTCAGCTTATGTGCATGTTTAGACTTCTGTATCATCTATGTGAGTTTTAAGAAATACCACATCTTTTAACTGGTATTTTTCTACAGCATTTTCAAATTCCTTGCTGTATGTTAACCCCCTGCTTCACTTTATTTCTTCTTTCTTTCTATCCTTATTTTCTTCACTACGCTTTATATCTTCATGCTTTTTTATTACACTTCATGACCAAGAGGTTCAGTCATCAACCTTCAGAATCCTCTTTCACATCCACTTCTCACAAAACATACCCTGATCCATTTTTAGCATTGCTCTGTCCTTAATTACTTGTTTATTTGTCTTATTTTTCTGAGCTAGATGTTGAACTGCATATATGTAGGGTTTTCAACTTTTTTTTTTTTAAACTGGGAATGGGGGGAGAGAACAGGTTACAAGGTCCGTGGCCATAAACTGTGATTTATACATGCAGCAAACATAAATTCAGCATCATCAAGCTTGCAGCAGCATAGTTCCCTAGATCAGGTCTGACTGTCATTTCTAGCTCTTGTACATGAATAAATCAAACTATTGTTCCAAAACCACAGTTATCATGGATACATATTTAAATTCATGATTGAATTCAAGGGTAATCCATGACCCTCTGACCCTTCTTTCAAATTGAAAGAATACGATGAACCTGGATAGTAAATCACAGCTGTTCAGAAGTCAAAGTAAAAATCCAATTAATTGACAGAAAAGGTAATCCATTTATCATACTGAATGCAGTCATCTGCTCTGCCTTTGTGCCTCTTCGCTTAGCTGCACATATCACCCATCAGCTGTTTAAAATTTTATCCATAGAAGAGAAACCCATTAAAATTTTTGAGGCTGGCATAACAAATGTCTTGTCATTGCAGTCCTTGTTGTGGAAGTATTTAGAAATTATGCAAAAATATTTCAGACGAGTCATGCCCTTGTGTTCTGCCTAGTAGTATATTTTAATTGATTCTGGAATTTCATGGACTATTAAGTTGATTCCAGCCCAAGCCATAATACTTCTGGAATGCTAAAGGACTTAAGCTCCTTACATTGTAATTGACATGGTTTAATTATCTGAATCGTGTTTGGTACACAAGCCTGATTTGAGGAAAATAAGGAAACTTTAGGAAATAGTTCATGTGCTTCTGATGAGTAAATGCTTGTAGGGGGAGGAGTTCTTAAAATGCTGTGTAATGCTAATTTCTATGTGGAATTAATATGAAGTGTCATTGCCCAGTACTTAATAATGAAATAGGACTGAAGTCAGTAGTTCTTTCTAAATGTTGTTTTAAACAGTAGGAAGTTTGAACCTGGAGTCTTAATAAGTATGTAGTCTCTTCCCTATGAGGTAATCTGGAAGTAGATCAGAGAAGGGTCCAATAATTTAAACTGTCTCCCTCTGTTATTGGACTTTCACGTGGGTTTGGGGTTTATGAGGGATAATGGCTGAAAGTGTATAGTGTCTTAAAATCTTACATTTATTCTTTGCAGCCTTTGGAAAAGAAGTTTGTGCGTGTTTCAGGGGAGGCAACAATTGGACACGTGGAGAAATTCCTCAGAAGAAAAATGGATCTGGACCCTACTTGTCAGGTATGCCGCTTGTAGGGTCACTTACAAGTTTAGTGTGATCAATGTAGTGCTTGCGCTTCAGACAGAACGTTTCCGTTGTTCATTAATCTGGAAGTAATGTTAGGGGTTTTTTAATGCAGTAAGGTTTAAAAAATGCAATGTTTGAAATCTTGTGACCTGCAAGAAACAACTCTCCCAACTCATTTGCAGCATGTTTAAATTGTCATTATAATACTTCATTATTTGTATAGAGTTTCTAAAGTACCATATAAGATTTCAGCAGATTAAATTCAAACCCAAAATATACTGCTATTTCAAAGATAGAACTGAGTATATAGACAGGAAAGTGTGTGAGTGTGGGAGGATGTGGAGGCAGAGACAGGTAGGAGCTGAATAACAGTAAAATTTAACTGAATGTTGAAAAAGAAAACAAGGGCTAAGAAAGAATAATACTGTGGATGGATGTGTTGAAATGAAAGGTATGAATGCAAATGTAGGCACATGTCTCCAAATAAGAATTCAAAGGAGCAGAATACGGTACAAAAGAATTAACGTCATATTTATCAATCATTTTGATAGGAATTGCGTGTCAAAACCAGTTTTCAATTCTTCAATATATTTCAGCAACCATTCAGTTGAGAAGGTGCAGGAGTTCCGTAATGTGTAAATGATACTTAAAGCTGTCAGTTATTGGTAAATCAAGCTGATACTGATGTGAATAGGCAAATGGTGGAAGTTAAGTGCTGGTTTTGGAGTTAAGGCTGTGTTTTCATATAGCAGGAACTCTCTGAGACAATATAGCGTGACTGTGGGCCTCGGTAGTGAGTATTTATTCATACTGCTTACCTTTCAGTGGTAACAAAGCAAATCAGATAAATTATTCATCGTTCTGAGGAGGTAATGTATCTTCATTTGCTGATTTCCTCTCAGTGAGAGTCTCTGTAGGTTTCAGGTGGTGGTGACTTGATGTTCTGAACAAATAAAAGTATCCTCAATATGAGGCTAGAGAAACATCTTGCATTGAGTTATTTATCTGAGGGGAAGGAACTGGTTTTTTGTTTGGGTTTTCTTAAATAGTACATCAGAATCTCAATTTTCAGTAACACTGAGCATCTGTAATGGAAACTGCAGTTACCCATCTTTCAAAATCAAGCTAGGCCTGTGTGTTGGATGTCTTTCAGATTTTGCAATCTTGAAATCATCTAATAGAGGTAACTCAAGAATTTTTCCGCCATTAGTTACTTTCTGCTTGGACTTCACCAGACAGGATATGATCCGCCATTAGTGAGTAAATGCTACAGTGTCTCAAAAGCTGATGATTTCATAGGCTTCCTTTCTCAAGATGTTGCTTGATGCTGATCCAGGCGCTTTTACCTCTGCTAACATCCAGTTTGCCATTCTGGAGTAAGGCATAGTCACTGGCTAGTTCTAATCTCTTGGTCTCTTTTGTGCAAGCTCTGCCTGTCTGGAACAAATGTTGATCTGCTTTCTTCTACAGTCAGATCCTTGGGCTGCTTTTTTTTCCCCCCATCTTAACTGATCTGCTTCCATTTTTTTTCAACAAGTATTTTTTTTGGTCACTGGAAATGTATAGTCGATTTTCATGCCACAAATCATGACTGATTTCCTGAAGATATTCAGGCCTATTTTTAAGAGGTTGGGGAATTAGGGAAATGAAGCAGGAAGTATTTTTCCTATCCTGATTGATCATTTCTTTGTCATATGGGGAATTAAGATTAAAGCAGTGTATGTACTGAGCTGTCATCTTGTCATTGTAGTATGCACAACTGAAGCTGATGGTTTGGTTAAGATGCAGAAAGCAAAAGAGACGTCAGATATGTCATTGAAGATTAATAAGCCTGATGAATCATGTCTTGCTCCAACTTTCCAGGATGGGTAATAAAACAGAAACTGTAAAACAAAATAAGGGAGAACCTGAATATAAATTAGCACAGGCAGAAGAATTTAGGGAAATAGGTTGTAAACCATATGTGCAAAGAATATAAATGAAGAGGGTGCTTGGCTGCTTTTTTAGTTTGCTGTAGAAATTTGGAAGAGAGTTGAGGACTGCAGTAGTTCATTTCCTGTAGGCTTCCCCAAAGTATGTTAAAGAAGAAATAGATACTAACTTAGGACAACAAGCTTTTCTTTTTAATATTACTTCTTTAGTCTTGATTTCTAACTCTCTCCAGTGCTTTATTACCTAAAGTAATCAATTTTTGTATAAAACGTTATGAGTTTGGTGTGCTCAGCTTGGGACTAGAGTCCAAGAACTAGATTCCCTTGGGAAGCTAGGAAATTTCTTTCAGAAACACGTTTCAAGCACTATTGAGCTAAAATCCACTGCATTTGCAGCATTTTTTCCCACATTTATCTACAGAAAGCTTACTGCCACAGTGTTTAATTATGCCTTACCTGGGACTTGAAAAGATTTGACTGTAAGGAGAGAACAGTCTTTCCTCCTTTCTATCCTCAGTGTATCAGTTGCATCCTTGGTTTCGTTGTTGAAACTTCCAGTAAGGACACTAAGTGTGGTTATTTTGTGAATGCAATCCATTCCTACTGAATATCAGCTTAGTTTGACAGTCTGTAGAAGTATTATTTGAGAATGTTTTACTTGTTCCCTGTTAGAGCTGATTCAGTGACCAAGTGATAGAAAGTATGTTACCCATTCTCCTGAACTTGGACCTCTTTGACTTAATTTGTGTGGAATATTAGTTAATATTTGTCCTTCTTCATGGACCTACACAAGTGGGTTGGATTGAGGTTAATGAAAATGTGAAATAAGCCATCTGGCTCATGTGTGACAGTATATATAAAAGTCTAAAAAGCATTTTTTGAAGCCACTGCCTTTGTTCTTTGTTCCTAGTCTGAGGCCTGAAATTATTTTCAGACTTCTGTATTCAAGTTTGCAAATGGATTATGATTCAGATTTCATAGTTTATCTGAAAGGTTAAGGCTTCATTTATTTTCATCTACCACTTGAGCTGGCAGACTGTAGTTTACTCTTGCTGATGCTTTGTTTTGATCTCTCTACTTTTGGCAACAATTAATGTATGTGTTTATATAGATTTCTAATTACAAGGTCTCAGATATTCTTGCTGGAATTTGTTGGGGGGGGATGAAAATAATTTTCGAGCAACTGGAATTGCTAGTAATAGCTAAGTAGGTACCATTTAATTTGAGCTAAATGATATGGTTATGGTGTTTGGAATCCATTAGGTACTTGGCTTCAACTTCTGATACACATCTGTATAGTTTGTGTTCTGCTGAAGAGTGAGGAGAAAATGAGTTTTCTTTGAAGTGTTACTTCCCTTGAGGTCATCCTGCAGCAGCATTATCCCTTCTTGCCATTCATTCTGTAAGGACAAGAGAGACTGCTGAAAGACTTGCAGCTCGGCTGGTCGGAATGCATTAATGTAGCTTATGGAATAGAAATGTTCCATAATCAGATGTGCGTTCCTGGCAGTGTATGTGAACTGCAGCCTGGGGAAAGATGGGAACGAAGTCTGCGCTCATACAGTGTAGTTGTTGATGCAGTTTCTTTATGCCAGTCTTAGACCCTGCAATAGAAGTATCTGGTACCTTTGAAAAGTAAATAGCAGCTAGAGGAAATGGAAAGCTGTGCCAGCTTTTTCAATAACTAGCCCAAATTCTCATGTAAATCTTTGAAACTTCGTGTTTTCCTTGTCCTTCCCTGGATCGTATAGGTTGGCATAGAAACTACTGATTGAGGTCAACTGCTTTCTGGGCCAGATTTCCCCTTGGGATGAATCTTCTGTGGCATGTCCTTTACATGAAAGGTTTCCATTTTTACCTCTGTCTTACTTAGTATTAATTTATAATTGTCTGTTATCATGTCTTTTAGAGAAATAGCTCTAAAGCATACATGCAGCCTAAAGAAAATAAATGGCATAATGGAAAGGCTACTTTATTTTAATAAGAATTTTAACAGAAGTGACTGATTCAGCAGCTACACCTTCATGTTTCCTTTCAGCACAAGGTCAGACTATATTTACTGCTGTCTTACTAGCTATCTGTACTAGCTGGGTTCAGTTTTGCCAGTCAGTTGAAATCATAAATTCATAGCACTTGCGTTGCTGGTGCCTCTCTTGTAACGGAATATATTCATTCCCGTATGGCACAAGGATTTCTCTCAGCCTGACTTCCACAATGAGCTGGGATTTTTTTATTGTATGTTTTATTCTCTTGTCCTTCTAGAATGAATCCTAGCATAACAATTTGTAGGCAGAAAATCAGGCTTTGGTGTGGGAATGAGGAGATCAGGCATTTGGTATTCGGAGCACTCTAGCATGGTAAATGTGAAAAACTCAATTTATTAGAAGACACTGGATCTTTAGTGACTACTATTTGAAACTGGAGCAGCAGGATCAACAGTGGGATATTTTCAAATGAGCTTTCCGATTCTGTTTTGAAAGATCATCAGCAGTTGTCACTAAGTTTGCATCCTGTATTGGGCAAATAGATTAGATTTTCTATTTCTGTAGAATATATAAAATGTATATGTATATATGTTTCAGTGGGAGCAGGATTGATTTTTTTCAGTATCTTATAAAAATTAGGAAAGTAAGCTTATAAAGCAAAAGTAATTAAACTCTTCTACCACTGGAAAGCAAACTAGACATGTCTGTTTGCCTGACTGCAGTAGTAACTGTAGAAGCTAGAACGCATGGGAAACAGCAGAAATAACTGTAACCAGCTTTCAAAGAGAGAGAGAGAGAGAGAGAGATTTCAGGTTCTGTGTTAAATACCTCAAATCTTGATGTTACATATATACGTGTGTGTATATATGGATCGGTATCTAATCAATATTTAATGTTAATGTCCAGATTAGTTTTTATTTGCTGGTTTTCTCCTGGAGGCTAAAAGCAGAAGTAATACTAAGCAGTTTACATCTTCTGCATATTAAAATTCAACCTAACACGAATGGAGTATTCTACATTGTTCTCATACTATACAGATGGTGAAGTGAAGTAAATTAGCCTTTTTTGAGCCTCTAAGAGTAGAGTTCCTGTGTTCCTGATTCTCAGAACATGTCTGCCAGCATGAGGCATAAATCTTCCTAAATCTTTTAATGAGGAACAAGAGAGAGATAGTGGGTCAGCATGCAGAAGGGCATAAATCCGGGGGTATTGAATAGCTGAAGCACAGAGTGTATCCTACAGTGGAATAGTAACCGTGTAAGAGAATACGTAATGATATTGCAGTATGCTCCCTGGCTACTGCAGTGGCAGAGCTTAGACTTTTTCCTTGCAGAAAGCTGTGGGACAGCTCATTGTCAATGCTCTTATCTTAAATTTGGAGATTTCGTCACTGTAATTCACAGATGAGAGCCCTCTCATTTCCGTAGCTAGAAATTGCTCATAAGGAAACTGTAACCAAGCTGCAGTTGAGAGAGAAACAGTGCTGTGTTAGCTGCTCTAATTAGGAGTGTTAGAGACTGGGTTTACATTATGCAGAGTAAATTTGTGGTAACTTTATGAAGAAGCTTACTTGTCATAATAGTCAAGCCAAGGAATTCAGAATGCTGCATTATGGGGGTTTTTTTGTTGTTTTGGTTGGTTTTTTTCTTCCCCTTTCCCCAGAATTACTGGGTTTGTGGGCAGTTAAGTTAACAAAAGTGCCTCCTCTGGAATTGCAGACACCATTGACATAGTTTAGCTGCAGTAAAGGACATTGCTTAGAATTGCTGAGTATGCCCTTCGCTTGCATCACAGAAGTATTGATTGCATTTTGAAGGGTGGTGTGAAGTAATTGCTGACAGTGGCATACAGTGAGCTGTTCTTTTCTATTTAAACACTTCTTCCAAACAGTCACGTTAAGCAGGCTTATTCACGTGTTTTCTCACTTAAGATAAAAATGAGGCTAGCAATGGCTCATTTTCTGTCAGTGGCACAAACAGGTTGTCCTTTTCTGCAACTGATGAATGATTCTGGATATTTGTGGGATCATTTTAATACATGATCTAAATTCCCATTAAGTTGATCACAGTTATTACTAAACAGCTTTTTTCAGCAGGCGCACCAAACTGGGAGTGAAATAATAAACTCTCCTCTCTCCTCCAGAAGTGAGCCCCGTGTCAGAGGCATGGGGTGGGGGGCATTAGGGCAGTGCAATAGTGCTATGCATGCTAAATACATTCGGAAAACAAAAGTAAAGATGGCTTCAGTGTCTAACATGCTAGAATTGAACTCTGCTAATCAAATGTAAAGGACTTAGATACTGGTTTGCTAGTCCAAAGGTAGGTTGAACTTGACCATGTTTGTGTTCATTCACAGGTGGACATAATATGTGGTGATCACTTGCTAGAACACTACCAGACACTGAGGGAAATTCGTCAAGCCATAGGAGAGAGTGCAGTACAGGTATGTGTGGCAGCTGGGGCTTTGTTCCAGGTTTTCTATTTTAAAATAGAGGTTGTCTTTCTTAAGCTATGAGGTAACACCAACTTGTCTGAAGAAGTCACTTTTCTATCTCTAGCTTATGCAAAATGGTTTTTATATTGTAAATAGAGTTGAGAAGTATACCATGTGCTAAGAATGTTCTTGACTGTTTGATGTTCTGGATATGAGGGTTTTGTGGGTGGTATGGTTTTTCTATTCTGAAACAAGATGCTATCTTATCAGTGATTAAACCATACCAGCCTTTCTTTTGATTAACATTGCTTGTTTTCCTCCCTGGAAGTTGCACCTCTGCAAGAAATCAAAGGACTGAACCTTCACAGATAAGGCTAGCCTTGTGACTGGGTCAGGGGAATAAACTTGCTCATAAAAGCAAGATACAGAGTAATGAATGCAATTAATATGCTTGATGCATTTTATACTGGTCCTGGTCACAGCATGAGTGTATAGGCAACTATTTCTTGTTGATAACTTACTGTCTTCAGTGCTGCTGGCTCTGCAAATAAGAAAGCATTTTTTTACTTCCTTTGGAATCTTTTCGAGCATCTTCATAATGGGAAGGGTCACACCATTTTGAAAATGCCACAAAAACAATGAAGCAGTCTGTGCAGTGCATACTTAAGATATAGATGTAAAATCGTGTTGTATGGCAAACTATATATTAATCTAAACTTGGAAGTCTGAAAAGTTAATACAGTGGGAAGAAATAGGATTAGTATTTGGAAGGCAATCTAAGCAGATGGCATAAAGGCTAAAATAGTAGCAAATTAAGTTCTCTTGACTTGTTTGTGCACACACATGCACAATCTTTACATTTAAATTTCCTGCTAAGTCCTCTTATGCTACAAGAGGGCTTCTGTGTCAGGAGCAAGAAGTGGAAAGCTGATTTCAGGCTATCTTGGACATTGCATCACCTGTACCTGATTTGAGGACAGACCTATGTGGCTCATGCTAGTGCTAGCAGACATTAAAAAATCTTTGAGGCTTGTGGTATGTACCTCAGTTTCTGTGGTCAAATGGAATAAATACCATACTTCGAATGTCTTACCTGTTTATATAATAATATTAAGAAAAAAATGAATATGTAACCTAACCTGCTTTGGGAAGCAGGGGATAGAAACCAGGAGGAAGCAACACTGGTAACGAACTTGTTTCTAATGTAATGAGTTCATTGTAAGTAAATGCATCAATCAACACATAGTGATGGAAGTGTCCTCTCTTAAAAGCTTCAGTATATAGCAGGGGGGTGACTTATTTCTCAGTCCAGAGGTAGAGTAGAATGTACATGCTTTTAGACTTCATCTTAGCACAAAAGCTTTTCATGTATAAAAAATGTTCTTGGCGGAAGCATGTTAAGGAAACTGCATTGGTTTAATTTCTTGGCAGAAATGGATCTGCCTAGTTGAAGTTTAGTGTCTTTCATTTCTTGTCAGAATTGGGTCTGCCTGATTGATGTTTAGTGGCTAAGTACCAGTCAGCAGCTCCACAAAGAGAACAGTTGTCCTGGGATACATTCTCCAGTGATGTTTCAAGTCTCATTATTACAATATCAGTATGCTAGTGATGAATTCTCATAAGCCTGCTCTCTTGGGCAAACAAACAGAAAAAGATCTTTGCTTTTTGTGAAGTCTCGTGCTTTCATAGTCACTTTTGCCAGGAAATTTGAAAGATCGAGTTCATCCTTAATTTTATTACATAACCTCTTAGGATGCCAAATAGTTACGATAGGAATGTTGCAAATAAACCACAGTTGCTTCTTTTTTGATACTGAAATAATTGTGACATTTTCATGTTTTATAGTCTCCTATTATTTTGCAGAAGTCAAGATGATGCATTTCTAGGATTAAATAACCTTGGGAAATGTTTTTAGATAATTATCCTGGGAAAAAAAAGTTGAATGGGTCAAGTCTAAAAATTGTAAGGGCTGTTTCTTTTTCACCAAGACCTGAAATTCAATGAGGGGCATAATTGTCCTGGCCCAATGAGACTACAACTACAGAGGAACATTTGATGGATTTTGCACTAACCTCCAAGGGCATCTTGTGCCATCATAACCTTCCAGCCTTTCCAAACCAGTGTTGGAGCTTGGAATGCCCCTAATAGCTCTTACTAGAATGCTGAAACACTCTTCAAAACTGCTGTTGTCATTTACCAGTTTTGGAGGTTCATTGTAGATGCTTCATGCTAAGAAAACATCTTCAGTAGCTACTTATGCAATACAAAGTCATTTAAAGGAATAAACATAGGGGGGTTTTATTTAGATGAGTACAGTCACTGTTAGAGGAGAAAAATAACTGCTCTTCTGAATTGCATTTTTCACGTACAAGTTCATTCATGTCAGCAGTTACTCTTTTTGCTGAGAAAAGTGATTTTAAAAATGCAGATAAGTTTCTCTTTGCCAAAGGCATTTATTTTAACGTGCATTCTTTGGCAGCATCTATGTTGGAAGTTTCTTCCAATGCAATGCAATATAACATATGTTGTGTGCGATTTATTTCTTTGGGCCATAATCACTGCAATTTTTAGGGGCTTTTACTCCTCCTGAATGGTTCTCAAATGCTCAAGATTGTTTTGTGAAGATTTTGAGTGTTGGGAGTTTTTTTTCCCTGCTGAATAACAATGTGTAGTGATGCCTTAGAGCCTCAGTAAATTAAAGCATCCTAAAAGTGCAAGCTAGCAGGGTTTTAGCTGTTCTGAATAACTATGTGTCTTTCTAACAAGTGTAGGAAGAGCAAATGTGATCTGATGGGGAAAATAAGTATCTCTGATACTGGCCCCATAGTAACCTGTTTGGGTTGGTTTAATTGGAGTAAATAGGCAACTAATTTTAGTGATTGAATGTAAATAATTTACATGTTTCTGTGTAGTTGATGAAAGGCTAAAAAAGAACCCAGGAATAAATCTTGTTTAATCTTGGAGATATCAAGATATTTTAACATTTCTGAAATTAGGTGGTTGAATCTTTCTAATTAGCTGGAAATAGGATTTCTAACTGTTTAGGGCAAAACCATAAAAAATTTGCTGCACAGAATTTATATAAAAAGAAGCAAATTTGTGCAATTTTTAAAACAGCGTAAAACTTGTGGAATTTACTGCAAGGAAAAGGCTCAATTGTGTTACCAAGCATTGAGATCCGCCTGTAATTAAGAGTTTGATCAAGTAGCTAAGGAAGGAAGCAGGTTGTTAACTGTATGGGAATATAATTTCTTCCCTCTGTTACCTTCCTTTCCTTCGCTGCACGAATGCAATAGGATCCAAGCTGCGAGTTACTTTCACTTGTCTGAAACTGGCTGCCTCAGAGCTCTGCATCACTGATGGATATAATGAGATCACACCTGGGAAAAGCTAAAAACAGTAGCTTCCTTTATGTCCTTGGCCCTTGGCACAGAGGTCTGGCAGACTATAGTGCTCTCTTTGTAACTCTCGCCTTTCTGTAACCCAATGCCACTGTATTTTTTTGGTCTCTCCTGTGCTAGGCAGTAAGAGCTGTGATCTAACTTAATTACTGTGACCCTCTAGCACACATCTGCTATGGAAGTGTTTTACTCTTTGCTGTGGGGATGCTGAATTTGGAAAGTGGGGCATGTTCTGTTGCTGCTTCTCTTGTAACATCAAAAGGTGTGTGTACTATGATGCTTGTGTCTTGTCAGTTCCACTCTAGTAGTTGGGTGTAACAGGTGGGATCCTTTCCATTTTTTTAGGTCGTGTTCACAAATGTGTGGCAAAGAGCACTGGAGAGTTTTGCTGTAGGAAGGGATCATATTTTGTTTTGCTTTTCTTTTGGGCATGTCTGAGTTAGCCTCATTCGCAATTTGTAATAAGCAGTAGGAGCTTGTTCTTTGTTTGGATTTCCTTTTAAGAAAACTCGAGAAAGCAGCTGAGCATACATAGAAATGTATAATACTTCAAAAGTGAATAATTGCAGAGTAAGCAGTGCCATTACTGGGTTAACTGTCAGCTTCTCTTTGTACAGAAGGTATTGCAGTGGTTTTGGCCTTCGGTTTAACAGGGATATTTCCTGTGTAGAGAGAGAATTCCTTTAAAATGTCCTACCGCCAAGTGTACCATTTGAAAGCTCATTCATCAGAGAATACATGGTAGCATTTTATTCTTGTATAAATATTTCTTTCCTTTAAGAAACTCCGCCATATAGGAAAAAATGGTTTTGACCACGGTTCTCCAAAACACGAAGCTTGAATGTGTCTTACTTTCTCTGTTGAAGTAGCTAACAGGCACAAGGAGGAAGTATACCTTTGTGAAGGTATAACAACATACTGTGTGCCAAGAGGTTCCTAAGTAACTTCATAGTACCTGTTCTACCTAGCAAGAAGTGAGGGCAGTCAGGATCCTGTCTTCATATTGCAACGCAGTCTTTAAACCTAAACCCCACTTTATGATAGGCAGCGAGTGAGTTAAAGCTCCTGTCTCCTCCTGTGTCCTTGTAGGAGTTAGCAATGCATTGCTGGTTATTAACAGGATGAGAAGATGAAGGAAAGTTAGTGAGCTGGCACTAATAACACAAAATAAAATAGGGGTTTTTTTCATTCCTGTCCATTGAAGTTAAGGTAGATTGTCACCTAGCCTACACTAGGCCCTCATTTGTCATCGTAAGCATCCTTTAAATGAAAGTGAAGCTGCTTGAGACTCACAGAGCACATTTGCTGTTGTTCTGAAGCTGTTTGTATCACCTGTAGCTGTAGAGTTGGGGAACATGTATATTTGTTGTAGCCTGAACATACTCTCTTCTGTAGGTGTTTTAACGTGCTGTCCTTTTTTTGCAACATGACCCTTCTGGTTGGTTTTGATGGTTCTTATAAAAGAATGCTTTGATCCACTTTTATCAGTGCCTGCATTTTAATCCCTTTATTTGGATCTTCTGTCTTGATCTTATGACTGACATCACCATGACCAGTGATGCAAAGCATTTGGATTTAATTTCCCTTAGATTTGACTTGTGGATGCCAGAGCTTTGTAGATTCAAAAGCGACAGACCAAGTTCATAGATGAAAAGTCGTCAGGAGACGCTTGATACAAAGCTACTTTGACTTAGGGCTCAAGGAACTTCCTGAGAAAGGCTTTTGAAAGTAGAAAATTACATAGGGAGGTAGCATTCTTGCCCTTTTCATGTATTTTTGTCTAGGCTTTCACTAGGTAGCCCTTTGGTCTGCCCTGGTAGGACCTTACATTTTTAAGTTTGGTTTGGTTTTTTTTTTTTTCTTAAGTGGCTGCTTTTTTGGTACCTTCTTTTCCTGACCTAGAATATTAATCTCCTCTTTAAGTAAATGACAAAATCTGTAGCCAGAAGCAGAATTTCAGGTCTTACTAAATGGGCATGTTGGCTAAATTGATCACAGTATTGCTGTTGCAGATCTTTTGTTATGAACCTACTCTTTCACCACCACATTTGAAAACTCCAACAGCTCTTCTATGTTCTTTTTCCCTTGAAAATAACGTACTGCACTTCCCCACCACCCACCCACCCACAGAGCTGCCAAAGTTAAAGAAACTAGTGCTAGAAGAAAGAGTAAAATAATTATACACAGCAGCAATTAGGGAGGTTTTCTGCTGGAAGAGCTTTGTGGCACTAGAGGCAAAACAAGGCTATTTTTCTAATAAGAGGTCATCTTCCAGACAACACAGAGGTGTTGATAGGCACTGTCTGAAAAGAATTCCCAAGGGAAGGAAAAGAGCATGTCATGGAGGCATGGAAAATCACATTCTGTCCTCTTGAATCTTTTTGAGATCAATTTCTTAATCTTAAATTTCATCCAGTGCAAAATGGCTCAGAGATTTTTTTGTGAGTAATTGAGGGTACATCAGCCAGTCAACAGCATTTTTATATAGGTAGCAAATTATCATTTAAAAATATATACATATCTTTCCAAAATACTATGTTTAGACTCATATAGTACTTTCTACTGTTACTGTATTATAACAGAGAACCTGTAAAGAGGTGACAGTCTTGTTACTATTTTTTAATTAACTTTTTAATTAAAAAGATTTTTTTTAATGTGCTGATATACCCCCTCACACAGAACTGTTATCTTAGGTCCTGTATGTTAATAGACAAAAACATCAGAAGCAAAACATGGCAGACGTTCTAACACGTCAGTTGTGATTAACACAGTTCTCTCTTCAAAACAAAACTTTTATTAAAGCCTGTCCATATAAACAGGTCTAATGCAACAAGTCAGATTCCCAGTGGATCAGTGGTACAAGCAGACTAAGTGCTAGACCTTTCACCAACTGTCTGTGAATTAAGGGGCATAAGGAAGACTAAGGAGTCAGGAAATGTCCTGTTTCACAGGCTTTTTTTATTACGTGGAGCAGTCTCAAAAGAGGAGAAACATGACTTAATAAGCTAATAGATTTTGTTATTATTGTTATTACCCTTTGTATTCATTACTTAATAAATGTGTAGTAGTAGTCTGGGCTGTTCCAATACAGCTTCTGGCAGCACCTTCTAGAACTATGTAATTGATTACTTTTTTTATCTGCACCATGGTATCATGTGGAAAGCAGCATGGGTTACAAACAAGAGCCTGTTGTACAAAGATGAGATAATTCCATTAGAACTTGAAAATAAAAGCAAAGTACCAGGTTTTACCTTTTTTTTTTTTTTTTTAACACCCTTCTCCGTCTCAAGGAGGAGAGGGGAATATAATTTTTGCCTTGATATTTCAAAACTTGGATTTGCCATACAGAAGTGACATGGTATAAAACGGTGAGTGAGATTGAAGCTGAGGTTCTGCTATGCAGTGGCTGTCATGCCAGGCGGTGACGGAAATGCCTCATGGAGAAGGTGAAGTGGTGCGATGATGCAGTTTCTTTCTCTTCTCTCTAGGACGGTTTACTTGTTCTGCACTATGGCCTGGTAGTATCTCCGCTAACTGTAACTTGAAGATTGCTAGTATATCAGAAGGCAAAAGAATCGGAGTCATCAAGCTTCTTCACTGCTGTTTTTCACCAAAGAAGGCCATCGTATTTCCTGTGACAGGAAGCAAGTAAAAGGAACCACCTCGTACTGCTGTATGCTTGTAATTTAACGTCTGACTTTACCACTGTAAAAAATTACAGTTTCTGTAAGTACAGCTATAGATGTTGCTATGCTTTGTGTTACAAATTACTGTCTTCAAATTTCACTCAGCTCAGGGAATTTAAATGCTCAGAGTTGCTGCATTTTTTTTTACTTTCTAAAACCACAAAATCTCACAGGGTGAATGGCCTTTTTTTCCTCTGAGCTATGAGATATTGCTTACTTTCTAAGTGTCTAGCTAGAACAGTGCTCTCAGGGATGATCTTCAGTGGGCAGTATAATTTTTTTCTGGGGAGGAGACAGTCATTTGCCTAAAAAAAAAGTGTACTGTGATCGTCTGTCTTCAGATGTGATTTGGGGAGAGGAAGGGAACTTCAGAAATGCAGACCAAAATGGATAGAAAATGACACATTATAAGCATTGGTTTTTGAGAAGCAGCATTAAATTTAGTTGTTTTTCTTGAAGAAAGACAATTTTGTTTGCACTGGAAATATATTTGCTGGTAGTTTGGCTTATACCAAATGGTGGATCATGCACCTCTAGTCTTAATGGAGATGAGCTGGCTGTAAGCTGGTTAAACTATGCATGAAAAAAAAAGTAGCACCTCTTTCTACCTGCTTGCTGTATGTAAAATAGTCACTGTCAGCCTGATTCTGCTGTCACGTAAAATCTGTCAACTGACTTGACTGGCAGGAGCATAAATCCTTTCACTTTAGCACATATCTTTCTAGCAGCAGTGAAAATGGCAGCTTTTTCCACTCTTTCTAATATGTATTAGTGCATTGTAGTGGAGACCAGGGTTGAGTAATGTAATACTTGCCTGTTACTACCAGATTCACAGAGGACATTAGGTAACTTTCATTTTAACATATTAAAATGCTAGGTTTTGTGACAACCGTAATACTTCAAATTCTGTTCGGTTTAAGATTTCCATGGTTTCTTGCGCAGCATTGAGGACCAGAGCTTTGTGTGTTACGGTCTTGCTGCATACTAGGTCGTTGATGTGGAGATTCATGAAAGCTACCGTTGCACACCAGGCTCCCTCCCTCCCCTATCGTCAGTGTAGAGAGAGGGAGAAGATTCTTTTGTAAGGCGTTTCAGGGCACCTAAGTTGGCTCAGATGCACTTACTTGCTGTCAACCTGAGGACTGGCATCCTTTGTCTAAAGAAAGCTTTCATGAATCCTTCCTCAGGTCTTTAAAATAAGCATTTGGTTTTGTCTGTGAAGATGACACCATAAGAAAAAAAAAAAAGTCGTCTTTGAAGTAATTCTTGTGATGCTTCTAAAAATGTAACAGAAACATTTCTAGCTACAAATTCCTATTTTACCTTTAAAGTTTGTATGAAAGTAGTGTTTAAAATGCAGCAGAAAATGAGATTATTTTGTAAACACTTTGTGAGTTGTGTTGATAAGAGATTATATATTGTAACAGTAAAATAAACTTTATTTTAGCCAATTTAAAATTGAGCTCTCATGTCTCTGTTTCCTGCCTATGTAAGCCTCAAAATTATAGCAGTTGATACTGAAACTGCTGGATGTGCCCTGGGGTTATTAGAATGACAAATTTCAATTAGGAGGTTGAATGGTGAAAGTTTAATACCAGAATCTCCACTGGAGCTAACTGCAGTATTGTTAGCTGGAGTAACATGGAATTTCTGGGACTCTCATTTTAATGAGGATTTCAGTGAGAAATAGCTCATTAAAGATGTCAAGATGCTTTTTCAACACAGATACAGGAGAAATAATCCTATGTAGATAGAGAACCCCTTTTTTTCCTCAACACTTACACCTTGTTGTCAAAGCTACCTCTAGATTATTTTCATTTGTGTTTATGACTCTTGTTATCATGTCCCCTGTGAACCGCATCTTCCTCTGCTGCTCTGATTGTCCTGGCTTTATACAAGGCATCTGGCTCGTATACTTCGTACTGCCACATCCATTATCACTCATGGGTTTCTTTTCTATGTATGCTTAATAAAAAAAAGGTAGCAGTATCATCACATTTTACATTGCAAATTCTCTGCTAATCCAGGCTTGAACTTCATGTCTACAGAAGGGCTTATTTTCAGAGTTTTACAGCTATACAGAAGCTGATAGTTAATTCAAATGAATGTCATTCTAAGATACGGCTGACTTGCGTAGCCTCGAGATGAGTGTGCTGCCACTGGCTCTGATGTCAGTGTCAGTCTCTGTTTGTTTTTCTAAAAAAGGGCTTCTGCAATATCTTTAAGGAGAGGTTTTCTGCAGGGTAAATCACATGCCAGCTAAAATGCAGAAGGCCAGGACTTCCTACTTCATTCTTTCAGTGGCTTAATGAGGAGGACTGAAGATGCACTGCCTGTGATATTTTGGTATGAATGCTTAGTGACCTCTTATTTCCCTTTTGTCCACTTCTCTCTTTTATTTCTTCCTCACCTGCCTTCAAAAAGCACATTTTTAGCTTAGTTTTCCTGGCTGAACATCCTGCTTGCTTTTGCCTTAAAGCCTACCCTTGAAGGCACTGATGCTTTATCTGCCCTCCAGAACCCCCTGGGGCTCCGCGGGGGTGACCTCTGGCTAGTGCCAAGGCTGATCTGGGGGCTGTGCAGCTTCCTGCATAAAGATGTTCGGTCTGCTTGCTTTAAAGTGTGCCAATCTTTCGGCTCCCCTACTGTTTTATTTCTGTTGGTCTCCTTTTAACCTTGGCTTTCCTCCAGTCACTTCTGGTCCTGATGATAGAAGACCTTCTGTAACAACACGCCGTCTATGGGATGGCATCTCTGCCCTCAGGGGAGATGAGCCAGCTTCGTGCTCTGGAAGTGATGGAAGGTGTGCTTGGACTTGTTCGTTATTTTCCAGACGCTGTTATTGTTTCCTCACTTGATGAAATAGTTCTGGTTTTATTTTCTGGTTACCTACTTAGCAATGTCATGGCTAACACAGGATCTGAACTAAATACTACTTGTACTGCAGCATAATTCTGAGTTGCTTTACAGATCTGCTAGTTCTCAGCAAGAGGAGACAGTGAGACCTAGTGTCAGGAGTTCTTATAAATGCAGAATCAAACTACAGTCCAGTCATGAGCATTGGGTCTTGTTGGTTATGTCCGGCCTGTTTTCTTTGTGTTTAATACAGATTTAGTGTAGTAAGAAAGTAAGGAATAGTGAAATGCACAGCTGAGCTCTCTTTGAAAAGAGGGGGGCACTGCGATGGCAGTGCATAACTCACTCATGTTCTGAACACCGCTCTTGCGCCCAGCCTTGGTCTGCGTTGCCACTACGCCTGAGCCCAGAGAACCCCTAGCACTTATTTCCATAGGTGTGAAACAATCAACGAATTTTACTGAAAAACCATTAAAGCTGGTCTAATACTAGTCTGTGCTGAATTCCTTTTCAGGGAATCGTCAGGCATTTGTGTGCAATGATTTATGTTAACGCATGTGAACAGTCACAAATTAAAATTGCATCCCTGGCATTTCTGTGTTCACTTCTTTTCAGTGTGAACTATCATTATCATGAAATTTGTGCTCCATAGAAATGGGGGTGGGGAGGATTCACTGCAGCAGTTGAGAGAGCGCCTATTGACAGAGACACAAGTCTTTATGTATTACATCCCTTGCTTTTAAAGGGAGATGGTCGAGCTGCCCACATGAATCTTCTAATATGCTGCATGCTTAATGGAGTGCACCAGGTGCCAGCCTGAGTGTTCAGGTACTTTAAGATACACTTGTTCTGCTGTGATAAATACTTGCTGGGAGACGGAGAGAATGTTCCAAACGGCGCATTCTCATCACTTTTGCCTGCTTGTTTTTTCTACCTCCTTTTTTTTCTGTAACCCAGCACAAAGAGAATCAGCAAGGTGATCATGTGTTGAATTTTAACCATGTCATCTTTAAGACACCCTTGCTGAATGAGCCAACAGCTATTTACACTTGCTGAGGTTTCAGAAAGTAGGTGCAGATTTAATCACTGAACAGGTCACATTTTATTGTTTTTGAGATAAATGGTAATCCCATCTGAGGTGAAATGCAATATTGATAGGCTGCCCTGCAGCTGCAAAATTCTTGCTGGAGCCGTGGCACCACCTTCACTGGGTTTTGATTTAGTGTAACAGCAATACGTTTGTGTCAAAGTAGCAGTGACCTGCAAAAGAAGTATTTCCCAAAGTGGAAAAGAGGGGTTGTATTTTCTAATTGCTTGGTAAAATAGCCTGTTTGGAAATGAAATCTTAAAATGTCTGTTTTCTTCCAAGGGAAACATTAACAGTAGAAAAGCAAGTGGTGGGCACCTAGGAAAGATTGAGAAAAACAGTGTGTTCCTGGGAGAGCTGCCTTGGAGCCCTTTTCACAGGGTGCTGGGAGGCAACCAGTCATTCCAAGTCACCACGGTGTGCTCGGAGCACACTGCTTGCAGCATTGCTTTTCTCTAGCTTGTGGTGACAGAAGCAGTTATTAAATGCTGAACCATTGTGTCCTTTCTGCCATATACCTGGGACTGAAAGGCAAGAACTCCCCAGATGAGAAGCTCAACACCCTTCACAAGAACTTGCAATCTCCTTTTTCTTCCTCGCGGGACATGGGAAAATATTTCACCTATTGGTGGCAATAAAATAGCAGGTTATTTATGTGCAACGACATACGGAACAGGACTGAATGGTGGTGGTCTTCCTCTGTGTGAGCGGGTAAGCTGAACGCAGGGGCACCTGCATTCTCTTTTCAGCTCTGTCCTTGACTTGCCGTATGACCTTGACCACATTTCTTCACTTCTCAGCTCTGTCCACCGAGTGCAACGATTTCCATAAAGCGCCGTGAATGAAAAGCCCTATGCTGCTGCTGGGTTTTTGAGGGCAGGCAGTTAACTGGTGACTACCGAGACCCCCCTTGTGAATGCAGGTGGAACAGGACTAAGCAACCAAGTGTGAAGACTTTACTTTTACTTGTTTAAAAGTTTGCCAAGTGATAAACATCTGGGCTGAATTTGTTGTGTTGCAGGTTGTTCCAGCTGGAAGTGGATTGATTTAGATATCTCTGGAGAAGTTCAACCAAAAGGAACAGAAAAAACTTGGGTTTAAGAAACAAGTAGTTGGTGAACAGTTTAAAAAAAAAAAAGTAATGCTTGTTTCATTCTGGGGTGTGGGGTTTTCTGGCTTTTACGCCTTTGTATTTTGTTTGCCAATGAGCGCACACTGAAGCTTGCCTCTGTGTTGAGGCATTCATAACTTTGCCCTCTGAATGGGTTTTCTGGTGTCTAGTAAGGAAAGCTCAACTTTGTGATCAATGAATATGATTCACCTATACCTGCTTGCTTGAAACTTGGAGGAATTTGGAATCTTTGAGACCTTCAGGTTTCTCAAATGTGGCGGAACTTAAGCTGATGAGCATAAAAAAAAATATTGGGGAAGGGTCTGGGGAACAAAGGGGGGACATTCAGTCCCAGTATGATCCCATCATTAAGAATCTAGTCTGAGAATATTTTGGCTTGCTGAAACATTTTGGCTTGCTTCAAGCATTGCCGGCCATTCTTACTCATACAGCTCTTGTGCCTCTTTGCTAGACTAGGAATTTGCTAGTGAGGTGCCTTGTGCCTGAGGTTTGGGGGTTTTTTGCATTTCCATTGAAAATTTCCTTAAACTTAACGATGTTCTGAGCCTTGGTGCAAACGGTGGTTTTTTTCAGTCTGACCTCAGCTTTTCTGAATGACATCTCCAAACAGCTCGTTCTTCCAGACCGCACTCGGGTCTGGGCATGTACGCTACCCCAGAGAAGGACCACGTGCGTGTCAGTGTGTTCACGAGGCTGCTCCAGGTGTGGGGAAGCCAGGAACCGGCGTCTCTGGGTGCAGGCAGCCAGCAGCTGCCTCTCTGCTCAAAGGCAAAGCAGCTAAGCTGGCCCTGCTGTGATAGGAACAGACCCTGGTGCCTCACTTGTTTCAGAGCTGACGCTTACAGCGCTCCAAGAGCTTCGCTCCCATCTATGAGCAGCGAGTGGATGTGTGCCTGGGGCTCTGGAATTGCACTCTGAAATGTTCTCCCTTCCACCTAAGCAGGTATGTCTGTGTTTAGCGTGAGCACTGTTCCTTCTTTGTGTTACGGTGGACACAGCCCAGCTCCAGCAGGGTGGCCAGCTCCGGGCAGCAGTGTCCTCGGTGGTACATCCTGCTTTAACAAGGATATAATCGTTTATCACAGAGTTGCAAGTTCCTCTCTGGTTTAGCTGGGTGATTGCAGGGTTTGGGGTGAAGACCCCTGCACAGGCTGCACTGCCCTGCTGTAGGAGTACATCCCCCCCGTCCCTGTAATTGCAGACCCCAGCTCTGCAGCCCTGGCTCAGCTGGAATCCACTGGGACAGAACAGGTCGATGAGCATTCTCCCACTGCGCCCCACGCAGCAGCGCCGTGTTTGCACGTTACGCTGCATTTGCCGGGTGATCCTTTCTCCCATAGGCCTGCGAAGACTTGCGTGAATGAGCTTGCATTGCTCGCTCTGTTTTGGTATAAACTTTGCTTTAAAGCGTCAGGCCCCACTGATGGGGACATCCGATTGTTCAGATGCATCTGTTCGGCTGCTGGCGTTAGGGCTCTGCGTGGGTCAGTCACTCGGGGAAGAAGCTCTTCTCCTTGAAGGAGGTCTCTGTGCTAAGAGCTGGCAAGAGGAGAGCTGGATGGGTCCAGCCAAAGGTGCTGGAAGAGACTTTGCTCTGAATTGCCTATTGATTCCTTCTTGCTGAATGACAGGGTTCTTCCCCAGTCTGGAAAAGGAAATGTTTGCATTCCTGACAAATGAAAGTGTTTGTGGTTTTGTTTTTTTTTTTTCCCCTTTGGCTGCTTTTTCTTTGGCTTACCCTTTAATTAATTCCAGCATCTGGACAAGCGTCATTAGCAAAATTTCTCTGTGTGCAGCGACTCTCTCTGTTTTTAAGGGACTGTACATCTCGGTGCAGACCATTATTGCAGGAACCTCTGGTGGAGCTGAAGGACCCTTGGTTCCAGGGTCATGATGGGAACAAGGTTCTTCCATCACTGGAGCAGCAGGAGCGTGACCCAGGCCCGCCCCAGCCAACATCCCAGGCTGCAGAGACCATCCCATCTCACCTACGTGGCAATGAAATGAGCAGAGCCGGGCAGCCCCGAAGCACAGCTGCACAGGCTGGCATATCCATCCAGGAAAAAAACCAACTGACCAGCCCTGTGGCGGGAGCTTGCACCCCTGCGTGGAGGCTGGAGCTCTCCCCAGCATAAAGATGAAGGCAACACAGCATCGTGAGAAATGGCCACTCTCTGCTTCTTCCCGAGCTGATGGTGCTCTCGGTGTTCACAGCTGCCTTTTATCTGAGAGGTCGAGGTTCTGCAGAGGTATAAATCTTTAAGCATCTGCAGTGTGACTCACTCCTTTCCTCAGGCAGCCTTGGTGTTTAACCCAGTAAGAAAGATGGGGGCCACAAAGGAGGATTTATTGCCTTGTTCCAGCTTAGTGCCTCTCTGGAGAAGCCTTCTGGTGCATATAAGCTGGCAGGTGAAAGGAGTCACCCTGAAGAAAAGATAGCTGGAAAAGGAGGCCAGGATGGAAAGACCTGGAGGTCAGCGTTGGTAACATGCTGAGCCGGGCTTGTCCTTCTCTACCATCTTCATTCTCCTCCGAAAGGCAAGGAGTGTAAGGTCGTGGGTCTCCCTTAGGGTAAGAAGTGAGGGCACAAGCCCTCCTTGGCCCCACACCACGATGCATTTGGTGGGGAGCTCAGCCCTCTCGCCCAATGGCAGCAGCCACCTGGGGGGCCCACAGGAGTTGAGCAGATGGGGCTCACCCCACCTCAGTTGGGCATTAGGCAGCCCCTTCTCTGATCCTGAAATGTGAGCACCAGGAAACGGCCAGAGCAAGCTGTGCCCAGGGGCTGTGCCCACTCTGGGACACCGGGGCCCTTGGCTGCCTTCTCCACGTGTGCCTACGGGGTCACTGCCCACGTTTGGGCAAGTACTACTGGGAGAGACTGGGATGAGGGATTAAACTCCTGCAAAGGCTCCCTTGTGGGACTGGACTTCCGAGATGAGCCTTACCAAAGGGCAAATGGAGGCTTGCAGGGTGGGGTTTGAAAGGGCTGGGTTTTCTGGGTTTCATGGTCAGCAGCTCTCCCTGCTCCCCCTGGTTCTGTGCTTGCAGAGGACATTACCAGAGGACCAGCTCTGCTCCCATGGTCCCCGTAGCACAGGCGTTGCAGCCAGAGGCTGGGTGTGAGTAGCTGGGAGCCTGCTGCAGAGCTGGGGCCAGCCATGGTTGCCCAGTCAGGCTCTGTCCTTCAGGAAAGCAGCACATCCCCCTCCTCCAAGGGCTCTCGCTCACCCTAGGTCCTGGGAGAGCATTTGTGGGGCTGGTCATTTGCTCTTATCAGGGTAATTAAAGCTTGGTACCTCAGATCCTGCAAGATCATAGGGACAGAGCCCAGCAGAGGGGCTGTCAAAACCATAATGTAATCTAAACTCAAGCTTGATCCTTTCTGGTGTATCCTGAATGCCCATATCCTTTCCCTGCCTGCTGTCCCCCTACCACTTCTGCAGCTTAACAGCATGAGACAGCACCAAAACACTGCAGAGCTCCAGAAAAGCAGGAAATCTCTAGGGAGATTTTGCCCTTGCAAAGAGCTAATTCTGGTGAGAAGCCAGTTTCCAAAACAGCGTCTCACCCTCCCCCCTGACTCCTTTGTCCTCCTCCACAACTGCAGCCCCTCCGCATCAGTACCGCCAAAGTAAAATTCCTAGTTTTGTCGCTAGCATCCAGCCAGCTGCACAAGCAGGAATCCCAGCGGAGGCTTGTGCTGGGAATAAAGGACAGGTCAGGCTGCTTATGCTCAAGGGACAGAAAGCAAGCGGCGCTGGAGGGTATTTGAGGTTCAGCATATATTACATTAGCTGCACAGTCACATCTGCTTCTTATTCCCCCTAAGGTTTGGGAGAAATGCTGTGTGTTTGCATTTCCTGACAGCTGAGCCGGGAGGTGTTTGGAGATCAGGTTGGTCCTCAGTGCTCTGGACTTAACTCTGTAGGTGCTGCTCACTGCCCTCTCCACCCCCCTTCCCCACCCCAAGTTCTTCCACAACGGTTTTCTGGGGGCTGCTGGTGCCGGTGGGATGCGCTGCCTCAGCCATGCCCTGAGCCCCCTCCCCTGCCTCCAAAAGGCGCCCCTTGCTTTGCCCACCCGCAGGGCTGCCCTGCCTGGGCCTGTGTCACCCCACGATGAGCAGCCTCGCCAGGGCATCATCCCCGTGGTTATCGGCATGGCGAGGCCAAGGGAAGCGGCTGTGCTGCTCCAGGCCTGCAGCACTGGCGGAGAAGCCTGTGACCATCACACGTGTCCCGGGGGCAGAGTGCCGTGACGTGGCATGACGAGGCAGGAATGGGAAGGCAATAGGACAGTGTGCTGCCAGCAGGGCCACCCAGCCCTTCCCATGCCCCACTACCCTCCCCTATGCCCCTCTACGGGCGCATCTCAGGCAGAGCATGGGCACCTGCCGAATATAAACCAGCGCTGGTCATGCCAGCTCTGCAGGCACCTTTGCTGGCTTTACTTGGGAGGTGGGTGCACCCTCGCTTCTTCCATCTTCTATTGCGCAAATCGCTTCATCGTGGCTTGTGAAGGCAAACAAAGAAGCTATTTTTAACCCCTGAGCATGCAGGCAGGGGGGAGGAGAAATGGCAGGGATCTTGGGACCGAACTGTCAGGGGTGTGATGCAAATAAAACCTTCAGAGTCCATTTTCTGGGCAAATGAGGGTGCATTTGGTCCTGGGAGACCTTGTTCCCTCGGCCAGACCGCCACGAACCTCTATAAAGCAGGGCCACCATGACAGGCACCTGGGGGTGAGACTCAGACATACCCCACTGCTATCGGTGGGACCAGCATCACCTTGCAGCCCCAGCAGCAGAGTTTGGCAGCTGCACCCCAACACTCAACTCTTTGCAGGGGACCAGAGGGACTGCTGGGCACCAAACTGGCTGCGGGCCAGACACCAGGGTGTGTTCCTGAGATGAAGAAGCAGGAAAGAAGACAAAACAGCTCAGTTTGATCCACATAACTATTTCTTTCTTTAATTATTAACTTGTGCCTTACAATAGAAGAGGAAGGAGGGTGAGCAAACGATTTGCTGGTTCCAGGAACTACTCTGGCACCACCGTGAGGGCAGTAAGGTCTCGTGATGATAACCTTGCCAGGGCACTGACACGCAACACACGCACACGCAGAGGCTCCGGCTCTTGCAAAAGCGATCGCTGGCAATTTTAAGGCATTGAAGGAAACCTATAGTTGTAAATCCTATATCAAATTTGGCACATGTTGGAACAGTTAGAGCGGAGACGAGGATGCTTTGCGGGCTGGTGTTTGAGAGTCCTGCAGCTTCCCAGCGCTGGCTGGGGCACGATGCTAATGTGAGCGCGGGGTTTTCATGTGACGACTGCACAGCCAAACAAGGGGCCTGGAGGACCCCAACATTTTGGAGCCAGCAACACTAGGCAAGGTGCTGTGCCCCGTAGCATGCTGGTGCCTTCACCTCCGATGCACCGGTTCCCTGCCCTATGCCTGCTGCTAGCAAACCCCACGTGCCTGGCTGGACTAATGCTGCCGCAAACCAGACAGACTTGTCAGGAGGACAAAAAAAAAAAAAAGAACATTCCTTATAGTTTAAAACATAAGTGGCTCATAGACCAGACATCAGGTGCGGTTACAGTCCAGTATGGCTATTTCTGTGCTTCTGGGGTTAAAAGTGGATGGCTACAGCTTGAGGAGTGGGGAAGAGTTTAGCTATACGTGGATTTGGATAGTAGTTGAAGGTCTGTAGCCTTGAAACTAGTCGTAGCAAACGTGTTGAGTTGATTCCCTCATCCTCCCTCCCCGGATTGCTGGTTGAGCAGCAGTCCCAGCCGGCTCCCCCTCGGCTGCAGCGGGAAGAGGGAGGGAGGGAGGAAGGGATGGTGGGTGCTACGAGTCCACTGTGCCACCACAACAACGACCAACATGCATCTAGCTACCTGCCAATCCCTCCGCCCCATTTAAAAGGGAGCAATGTGCCAAGCTCGGTCTCCGCATGGCGGGACCCGCGAGGAAGCCAGCCCCAGGTCTGTGTCCCCAGGGGGTTACATGTTTCTAAGGGGGGGGCTTCCTGCAAGTCCAGTGCGGCTTCGTGCCCGGAGGGGCAATTTAAAGGCCGAGTGGAGACTGTTCCCCCTCAAATGCAAAATGGACAGAGTCCTGACGGTTACATTTTTGCATTCGCAATGATTCCTTCATGCAGGTTTAATCTCCCTCTTTTCTTGGCAGAGGTTATGGTCCCCTCAATCACCTCAGCCCTGCTGGATGATATTTTAGAGGTCACCTTAATAACCTCTCCTTGCTCCTCCTCCCTGAAGGACAGAGTAGAGGAACTAAAGCCTCTTGGCTGGAAGGAGTAAGTGGGGTTGGGGAGGGGATTGAGCGCTGAAAGGCCGATGCTTCCTGTGCTGAAGAGGGTCTCCTCTCCCTCCAGCAGCTTCCTGCAAGCACATCACAAGGAAAGAGGTTAGTCTGGGGACATCCCACGTGAAACATCTGCAAAGCCTGAGGGCGTGCTGTGACCTGTGAGCAAATCCGAGCACTCCAGGCCATCGCCCCAGTCTGCAGCAGACACTGGCTCAGGTCACGCTGCACCATGAGACTGGTTCAAAATCATATGCTTTTGTCAAATCATTTGTGGAGCATTTGCAATATGGGGTACACGAGACCAGCTCCCTGCTCTGCCTCCAGAAACCCCAAGAAAATCAAACCCCGAACCAGAGGGGTTCTGCCTTTTGCATCTATTTTGACTTTGCAAGAGAGACAAGTTTCCAATCCCAAATGTCCCCACAAAAAGTCACTGCTTCTGGGATGGCTGGGGGACATGGCTCACAGCTGCTCGATCAAGGCGTGACATGGAGCCATGGCTGCTGCCTGGGCAGGAGCAGGGCAGGTCTGAGCAGGGGAGATGAGCAACATGATGGTGTCGGTCCTTGAGTGTGTACCCAGATATTTTCTGGGCCCTTGAAAAGACTCCAGCCTGGCAGGGTTGAGGGTTCAGGTTGGGAGGCACCTGGGCAGAGCGGGGGGTTCAGAGCAGCCTTACCTGTAGGCAGCTATCTCGATATCAAGCGCCATCTTGACGTTAAGCAGGTCTTGGTACTCTCTCAAGTGCCGAGCCATCTCGTTTTTGGTGTTTCGCAAGTCGTCCTCCAGCTGCTCGATGGTGTCCTGCAAAGGCAAGGGCGCTCAGGGACGTGTTTTAGAGCAGGGACATCTACTGCGGGTTTTCTGCTCTGCCCATTGTGGAGACAGAGACACTGCAATGGGAACTTGGTTCACAATGGCACATCCCACCGGGAGCTTGGGATCACAAAATCTCATACTAACAGGGATGGAGAAGCTGGCAGAGCACCAGGCATGGATTGTGAGTGTGTGCAGAGGCAGAGGAGACTTTGGACATTGATGGATTTATATAGCTTCCCATCTGCAGCAGGGTCTGAGACAGGGAGGGGGGAAGTAACGCATGGTGGTGGAGCCCCCCCATCCTGTGTGGGACAAGGCAGGCTGCTGCAGGGGGAAGGGCAGGGCAGGGCTGCCGGGGAGGGATGGGAAGTTTTGGGCTTAAACATTGCCAAAGCAGGGGCGGTGACTCAGTGGGACAAGTGAGAGCACCCAGCACTGCAGCAGCCCACGGCGGGGGGGGCTGTGCTGCTGGGACAGGAGGGAAGAGCTGGCTCCTGGAGGGGAAGGCTGACACTTTCCCCAGAAAATGCCTTGGAGCACCAGGCTGGGGGGCTCTGAATGCAAGGATTCGGGGGGGTTACAGGGTCAGGGCCCTGCCCTACGAGAGCCAGGGTGCTCAGCTGGATGACAATGTCCTTCTTAGCATCCTTCCCATCAGCTTTGCCCTGCCATGGCTGCTACACCCAGTTCTACCTGCGAT